CAATCTCGCTGCTGTGTCATTCTATGGGCAACCCACTTATCACACAGTACAGCATGTAAGTCTTCATTGTTTAAGTTACATGATTATTTAATTTTTTTTTTTTATTGTTGTATCCAATTTTTTTAAACTCTCAAACATTGGTATCAACCTTAAAAAATCCCATAAACGCCAAAGATAACACAATCCCTTGATATCACTGCCAGTAATCTAAAATGTAAAGGGATGTTTTAGTTTGTATTATACAAATGATTGTAAATAAGATCAAATTGTGTAATCCTTCCCATAAAGTGAACTAAATTAAAGTGGGGATAAAATACATTTGCTTACAGAATCGGAGGACCTGTGCCTCAATAATAAAGCCATATGTGATCAGTTTATTGCATAGACCGGCACATACATTTCAAATTCAAGCCTCTCTTTAATCAGTACACATGTATATACCTGTATGAGAAAAATTCAAAGCAGTGTACAACACATTTTTTAAGAACATTAGTCAGGATGTGAGTGGAGAGAAAGTGAACAGCTCTCAGTAAATGTTAAAGGTCAGAGAAGGTGATGTGTGTGACGTAACTCTTGAAATACATGGTACATTTTATTCTCTATAATTAAAGGTGTCATATTCTGCTCATTGAGGCGCCGTTTACACGAGGAGAAAACTGCTTGTATCTGCATAGTTTCGCGTGCGTATAGCCCTATTATTTACACGAGGCCGATAGAAACTAACCCCACAAACAATAACGGGTCCCAAGGTGGATAGATTTGCAAACGAAACGCTCTGGGGGGTCAACCGAGTCCGTGTAATCACCTCGATATGAATATTTCCTGAAAAAATAACGATAGCCCCACCTCTCCTGCTCACTGCTGTAGCAACTAATAATAGCTGTGTTAATTAAACGCACAAGGGGTTCTTGAATGAAATAATATTATAAAAGGCAAACCAGAATTGTTAACGCCCAATATACTCCTTAAACAAAATAAACAGAGTCAGATTTCATGCATTGATCCATTATATTGACAAAGGTGCGATCTCACCCGGTGTTTGTAGAGAATATCTCTCTCTTTCTGAGCCGTCCTCTCCACGGAGACGTGCTTCTTGGTCGGGATGCAATATCCACAGATTCGGTTTCTTTCAGTTTCTTTCAGTTTCAGTTTCAGTTTCGGGGCTTAAACAGAAGGGTAGCCATGGCAACATTGCAGCGGGGCTGCTCGGTTGCTCTTCTTCGCGGCTTTTGGTGTATTTTGGCGGAAGTTACAGCGCCACTTACAGTCCCAGCATATGTACTACAGCGTTTCCAGCGGCCTCGTTTGAACAGACACGTTAAATGAAACAAATGCATGTGAATGGAAGACTTTTTTGAATACGCATACTGTGCATAAACGCAAACGGTCCCGTGTGAGCGGGGCCTCAGCCTCTGCATTAGATGACACCTACACACACATATACATGGAGGGAAGGATGGAGGAATGTGTGTTTCGTAAATATAGGTTTGGTAAGTTTATGCAGTTAAATGTGTGGTGGGCGTACTGATGTAATGTGCAGAGGGATGATTCGCTATAGATTGACGACAAGGACGCAGAAGTGCTCTGATTGGGTATTGAATGGAAGGACAGAGGAGAGAAAGAAGAGAAAGGATCAGATGCAGAGGATGGAGGAATGATGTTGGCACATATGATTGCCCATTCACTGTCCAAGCAAGGATGAAGGGCAGGCAAATAAGAAACACAAAGTATGATTACTCATATCTATCATATACAAATGTCCCCCGATTATTGATGCTAAACACCACAAATGCGTAGTTTTAGAAGTATATGCACAGAATGTACCTAAATGTAAACTCTGAAATTGGTGTCATAGACAGAATTATAATTACTCGGACTAACACCATACGTACATTTAAAAGCAATACTTTCTTCACAGGGAAACCAATTTCCACGTGACTTGGACTCGAGTCACCAATTTGATGACTTTGGACTCGACTTGACAAAATCACAAAACACTTGCGACCTATATAACACACTACAGGAAAGGGAAACCCCCCCGAAAAAATATAATAGGGCCCCTTTAAGTATTATTTGTTCTTGTTCTGCTATGATTTGCTCAAGACAACGCAACAGTTTCAAAACTTTAATATGCAATTGTACATGTTATGACACATTGTGTATATAAACTTCTGGTCCCACTCTATCATATTGTAGATTGAGCCTTTCAGTCCAGAAAGACATTTGAATGTATAAAAAGACACTAAAATCAGTTCAAGCATCTCTAGGACAAATGTAGAAACACACACTTGTCACATGATCTTATACAAACACACACACACACACCTTGGTGACAGAGTTAAAAATGGTTTAACAGAACACAGGTCAGTGAAGCTCAAGTGAGAAAGGGTAGCAGCAGAGCAGGACAGAGAGATGGAGAGATGTAGAGAGTTATGAAAGTAGATTACTGACTAAAAGACAGAAGAGAAGAGGGAGGGAGGGGAAATCAAACGGAGAGACGCAAGGAGCAGAAGAGCCTGACAAATGGACAGTGAGAGAGCGAGGGTGTTGTGATGGACATTAATACTCAAGGAAAGGAGAGAAAGAAGAAAACAGGAACATGATGCCAAGAGAGGGCAAATGGAGAAGAACAAAACAAACATGGTCATGGGCACAGATGGAAGGACAGCTGAAGGACAGACATGGGAAAAACAAGGATAAAAAACACTGTCGAGAGATGAATGTCAATAGAAGTCAGATGGAAAGAGACTATAGCAGCGGTGATGATGATAGAGGGAAGACTTTTAGCTGAGAGAAAGACAGTAGGACTGGATCAGGTCAGGTAGGTTGAGAGTTGATATGCTTCGGTGCACAGAAGGATATACAGGAAGGAGCACACTCCCCATTATAAAAGAAATGACAGGTCCTACGTCTACAGGACGTCTGGTAAAACCAGTGACTCATATTGGGACGGTCTGCCGTTATTTACAGAGCACTGTGTACACAAACAACACACATATCACTTTCACACCGGCACTTCACTTCATTTGGTCTGATGCCATATCATGCAAATGACATGGCTCTGGGTCTTCCACACTGAATATTACATTTCCTAGATGGTGCATCCTACTGAGTCTGATGGTTCCCTGATTTAACTCTAGTAGCACTATGATGTTGGCAAGGAAATTAGACCTTTTTCAGTAACATTTACCTGCCAAATTCTCTGAAATATATGGCTAGTGTATTTAATTACTCACAAGCCACATAAACAATATTAATTAACATTGTGATTGATGACTAGTGGCCTAAAAGGGGACTGTTGCACCCTGAGTGAATTATATCAAGTTATATTGAGTGATAGCAATTACATTTGCTATAGATTTTTCAAGAGGATGATACCTAATGACTTTGTTGTCCCTCTGATTTCCTCTAGCTACTGTCAAGTCAAATTTGTATTATCATGTGAATTGTATCACCATCTACTGGGATTACGTGTTATCTGTCCAGTAGTCCTACTGACCTTGATGATACTTGACCTTTCATATAGCGCCACCAAATGCGAAACTAATGATTTTCTCTATCAGGGAAAGAGAAAGAGGGCAAGAAAATAAAAGGAGAAAACGGAGTGATTCAAAAATGTGAAAAAAGATGGAGAAGTTTTTGGTACTCTTTAATGGGCATATTAAGGCCTGCATTTTTGACATTTGGAAAAATAAATCAATCCTTTTTAAAGCTTGGAGTTATGATTTTGTAACATCCTGTAAAATAACATTGTATGCATCATTGTGAAATCACTCCCTGTCTGTCATCTTTGTTGTACAGCTTAATGAACTTCTGTTAAGGTTAGGGTTCAAACCAATCCCTTAACCCTAAGCACCAACCAAAATAGTGTGCATGCATCCATCTAGTGTCTGAAATTGCAACATGTTCCTGTTGAGTACAGTTTAAGTGTGTGGCTGTAGCTGTCTCAGCACATGAAGCCACCACGTGTTGAGAATAGGCGTACAAAGGTCAGGGCTCCACGCATATTACTGTGAGCATGAAGTATGATGTAGAAGGTAACTGCAAAGGGGAAAAGGGTGTTTGGATAAACTGCTGGATTCAGTCGGAATATATTGAGATAAGAGGAGATAATGCATTTAATTTCCACTGCATAGTATGGCAATAGTCCACTTTCCATCAGCAGAAGTTGTGGATAGTACCTTGTTGTGGAGAAGAAAATAATGACCCAAATGTATTTTATAAATTAAACAATATCAATATAATGTTTTAAAAATAATAATTTCATATGCAATAACAAGATAGAATATTATAATTGTTTGGAGTTCAATTCCACTAAATATTGTCCCCGTCCATACAGTACCAAGTCAAGGCAGATTGGCTGGAGATTTTTGCCCACAATGCAATTTGATGACATTCAAAAGGTATAACTCAGGCTTTTCCTTTAACTACACTAGCTAGTGTGTCTGCCTCATAACTGACCAAGGGTTTGTCATGACATGGATTTTAAAGGATGCTTTTGTGAAGCCTTTTCACCGAACAATAAAAGAGCAGCGGGAGCTCAAAAGGCTCTTATTCATTTCTCTCTCTCCTCCTAATCTGATTCTCTTGTTCTTTTCTGTCATCTTCTGTAATCCCCTTCTGTAATCGTTGTTACCTCAAGCGTCCTCTCTTTTCTATGCTCTTTTCATGGTAACCATCCCCCCTCTAGTTCATTGTTAGGTAGGCTCCTCTTCTATGTAATACTTCTAATAAAGACGTAAATATATACTAGATCACCCTCAAGTAACATAGGGTATTAATCATATTGTAGTGCACTTGCAAATGTATTGTCTATTTTCCAAGTGGCACACTGTTTAAAATGCATTGAACAACTCTGTGTTTGTTTACAGTTATACTAATGTCATTTTGAGTGGTGATGTGATAGCAGCAACTAGAGTTAAGGACAAACGCTGCTCCACCTCAGGCCTCTAAGATTAACTAACCTCCTGCTTCTTTCCTCTTGTGTTTTCTCCAGGCGGATGCTAAGATGGTGTGTGACGTGGTCACTCGTATGGAGGACACAGAGCCTTACTCCGCCGAGCTGCTCGGCGCCATGATGCGCCTGTTGGTCCGACTACAGGCAACCAGGAGTGTTTCCAGCCGCGCCCGCGAGTACCAGCTCAACGACTCAGCGCAGTAGTACGTATTCTACAGAGTTTAGCATTATAATTTGTGTGGTTATTGAATCCTGCAGGGATGAAGTGTAGGCTAATCTTGAATTTAGCATTGGCTGGTTCCTACGAGAAAAAGCCAATGGAATATCTACATTGGATTGTAGCTGAAAACAAGCTCTGTCTTAACAAAGTAATGCATTTTTGAGATTTGACAAGCTTAAATGCAATTGCCAGGAGTTAAAATGTCCTTGTGTTTGACTTGATAATGTTGAATGTCCCAGACAACCTCTGTTATCATTAAGCTACTTGTTAGCAACATCTTTGTTAAGTTGCGTACATTTTTTTAATAGTGTCTCTTATGTTATAGAACCAAATGTAAAATATCTTAAGCGTGTTTAAAACATTTAAGAAGCATAGAAATCTCACCAAAAAAACCTCTGGACCTTGAGACAGGGGAACTGAAACTGCAGAATTGCTTACTCATTTCCAGGTTTCAGGAGTCATTCCTGCCCCATCCAACTGATCACAAGTGATATCATCCAGCCAGAGTATGCTTGAGTATGAATGGGAGATGTTACAAAGTGACACATTTGTGTTTTGTTTAACGTTCCAATAAGCACTATATCACTGACTCAGCACAGTAGCGAGAGAGTGTGTGTGTTCCACCTGTTCAGCTGAGACGTGTCAGGATCAATACATCAGTCATTACCGACCTCCCCCCCGCCTAATTCAATACACCCACCAACCATAAAAGATGAAAAAGAAACACATGCTCCCTAACACATACACTCACACACTCAACTATTTATTTATAATCTCCTAGATGCGATCATACACTGGCTATTACGACACATAGTCAATCACCATTACAAGTACACGGCCTGATTTATGCTGAGTGCCTGAGCGTGGGTGGAGAGCGAGAGAGAGACAGCTGGAGAAAAACAGTGAAGGAGAGGGTGGGGTGGGGGGGTGGGGAGGACATTTTACTCAAGTGCCATGTTTGTGCGTGTAGCCCTTGTGTAATTGTCCGCCATACATCTAATGAAATTACACAGTGACAAAGATAAATGGAAGGAGAGTGACAGATGGAGTTGTATATCTTTGTTGCTGTGTGCAGCACATACACTACACATACTGTAAATCACTCTTATAGGCAACTGCGGATGTAGTGAATGTAGCTTGTGTGTTAGTTTATTTAGTGACCACTTAATATGAATTCATATTCATCCAGGAAAATCGTTCCTGCGTTTGAATTTCTACTTTAGTACTGGTTTCAGTTCACTGGCAGTGTTTTTATTTCTCAAGAAGCATTTAGAGGCAGCAGACAGTTAAAGAAAAACTCAAGCAAGAAAAGAGCCATCAAATGCACTACTTGGTTGGAAATCTACCAGTGAAAACTAAGTGTCTAGAAGCAAATCTAGTGCAGACACAGATGTTACTTAAAGTGGACCTATCATGCTATATTTTAATAATATAGTGTAGGACCATACCTACATAAGGCATATTTATACTTTTTTTTTTTCAAAATACCAAACAGATCATGCATTTTAGCCATGCCTCATTTTGCTCAATTTGCAATTTCTAGCTTCTGGGCAGATTCTGTGAGAACAGCACCATCTACTGGCCTGGCATATGTACTACGGCGAGTCTCCAGCGCTTTTCGAACGGCAAGTGGCCGTGGCTGTCCCTCCCCTGATTGGTGGAGTTGGCCCAATAGCCGTAGCGCCACTGTCCTGACTTCATACAGTGTTCAAATCTGGATCAGTTTTATCAGATCCGTTGCAGCCCCTTTTTTAGAGATTTGGGTATGGAGGAAAATAGAGAGGGTTGTGTTTTTCTGACCCTTGGTGATTCCCTGGAACACCGGGGACACATATTCATGTATAAAAGACGTACAAAAGTGGCATTTTGCATGATGGTCCCCTTTAAGACAGAGCTGCAGAGAAGTTGAGATAAGGCGGAAAGAGAAAGGGCAGGAAGGATATAGAGGGATACGTTGAGAGAAATTAAGCCGGGGGAGTCCAAGTCGAGGCTTAAGCAAGGATAAACAGATCAGAAATAATGAAAGAATACGACTGAGACAATAGAGACCAAAAGGTCAGGAAAAAGAGTATTCCATGGAGTCAAAGGTGATGATAAAGCAAGACAGAATGGACAGAAGAAAATACAGAGTTACAACACATAATAGCAGACAACCTGGAAGTGCAAACATATTCCTGTCAACAATTACATTTGGTCAATTAACTCAAACAACATCCTCTCTGTGTGTGAATGAAAGCCTCTGTGTGCTAAATGTCACATTAAAGATGAATGCACACTTCCTGTTATGTTGGAACTTGTGGTGCAGAACAGGACAAGCAGCCAA